TTTGCCCTTCACTCACTTTGCCAACTCACCGAGTGTACACTATGAGCAAACCTCAGGAAGTATGCTGATTGTGTCCATTGATGATGTTACTATTGTGGGGGGGAGGGAGGGAGAAAGCTCTCTTTGGTTACAAGAGTCCATGCATTGAAAGTTCTTCAACAAATAAAAACCAAAAGAACTGTGGATGCTGTAAATCAGAAAAACAGAAGTTACTAGAAAAACTCAGCAGGTCTGGCAGTATCTGGGAAGAGAAATCAGAGTTAACTTTTTGGGTCCGATGACCCTTCCTCAGTACTGATGGTAGCTAGGGAAATGTTGGTTTATATGCAGAAGATAAGGTGAGGGGAGGGGGTAAGGAGTAAATGATAGGTGGCGATAGAGCCCAAAGAGAGAGAAGAACAATTGGACAGACAAAAGAGTGGATGATGATCTGGCTAGGAGGGTGAATAGCTGTTGATGGGGACTGTTAGTGAGTAATAGTAGGTAGTGTGTAATGGCAGGCTATGTGATAACAAGGCCTGGTGTGTGGGGTAGGTGGCTGGGACATGGGAGAGTTCAGGCCCTAAAATTATTGAACTCTAAATTGAGTCCAGAGGGGGCTGCAGGGTCCCCAAGTGGAAAATGAGATGCTGTTCTTCCAGCTTGTGTTGAACTTTGCTGGAACCACTACAGCAAGCCTAAGACAAAGATGTTGGCCAGGGAACAGGTTGGTGTGTTAAAGTGGCAGGCAATAGGTAGTTCAGGGTCTTTTTTTTGCAGGCAGAGAGTAGGTATTCTGTGAAGTGGTCCCCCAGACTACGCTTCGTTTCCCCAATGTTGAGGAGACCTCACTGTGAACAGCAAATCCAGTAGACTAGATTGTGTGAAGTGCAGGTGATGTTGCTTCACCTGGAAGGTATTTTTGGGCCCTTAGATTCCAGGGAGGGAGGAGGTAAATGGTCAGGTGTTACACCTTCAGTGTTTGCAGGGTTAAGGTGCCGTGGGACTGTGGGGGTGGTGTTGGGAATGAAGGAGGAGTGAAGGGACAGTCCCTTTGGAAGGCAAACAAGGAAGGAGAGGGGAATATGTGTCTGGTGGTGGCGTCTTGCTGGAGGTGACGAAAATGGCGGCTGATGATCTTCTGCATGTGGATGCTAATGGGATGGTGGGTAAGGACAAGGTGAGCACTATCACTGTTACGGGAGAGAAGTGAAGGTGGAAGTCCAGAAGATGGGTCAGACCCGATTGAGAGAATTTCACTTAAGTGCTTCACCCATAGGTGCGTTATCTATTATGTCAACAAACATTTCCATCCAATAAGTGGTGGAGATGTCTACCAAAATGCATATTTGATAGGCACCCTATTGCAAAGGTTGTTTAGGAAATTAGTCACGCAGTACAAATCCTATTGCAGTTTTGTGTGAACAGGCACTGAACTAGCTAGCACTTTTTTTTTTCTTGAAAACATCACACATGTTTTCTTAGGACAGTTCCTTGACAATTTGGCAGTCTCAATGTGTTACGCATCTTCTAAGCACAGCATGCCCTTTCAAAATCAGAAAGGGTGCTTTACCTCCTGCAAAAGGATAGGGGAGAAACATTAAAACATTGCTCCAGCCCTCACCCTCTCATCCTCTCACACCTCTTTAACCCTCATGACTCCCTATGACACATTCATGTGAAGCCAAGCATCCTAATACCCTCTACCTATTCCCCATAACCCCTCTTGACAACTTAGTGCCAACTTTTACCCTTTCCCCTTTCACCTACAGTGCCAATTCATCAAGTATTCACAAGTACCCATGTAGACAGCAAGAAGTATAATTCTATGGCTTAACATTCTGTATGAGCATATATTACGCTAGGTAAAAAACATACACATTCATAAAAACATATTTTGACCAGTTGACAACTGTCAACAGAGTGACAGTTCTTGATTGTTTTTGACGGGTCCTGAGAGGTTGGACAGTTTCAAATGGGTTCATGAACCTTTTACTCTGTCTTCTCCACAGTTCGTAGTTGGAAAGGACATCTGACCCCCACAAAGGATTCCTGACCCCACCCCCAGACTATCTGATACCTGCCCTCTCCAACCCAAGGGATCCTTGACTACTAGCTCCAAGCTGGCCCAGCACAATACCTACAGGGTGCCTCACCTCTTCAAAGAGAGACCCTCGTTATCCAGAAGAAATGTACTGAGAACAACCCTGGCCTCATCTCCACACTAGGGACTTCAAGTCCAATGAGTGGAGTGGAGGCAGCTGGCTCTGGGTATTATGTATGTATGATGTACGGACCAGCTCCAATTTCTAGCCCCTGAAAATACGAGCTGTTGGATTTGAGCTGAACTTCAGTTTGCAACAGCTTCTGGCATTCTGTGCTGCAGTGGAGATGCTGTCATACCAAAAATCGTTCCCATGGTCTATACAGCTTCAGTCAGATCCTCTGACAAATCATCAATTGAGTTGATTATTTATTTAGTTTTCTTATTTACTCTATTGATAGCTGCATCACACGAGATGTACCATCATTACCACTGGCCAACTCTCCTCGCAGCTTACACTGTCGCATTGTTTTCAGGGCTGCTGACTCAACCAGGTCAAGCACAGGCAACAGCATTCTCCTCTTAGTGACATTTCCTCAATTGAGGGTCTCAGTCCTATCTTCCAGGTGGATCTTCATCCTCCTTCATCCACACCAAGTCTCTTGCTATTTTTGGGGGTGACCAAGGTCACTTGACTGCAGCCAGGCACTCTGTCTTGACCAATTGTAGCTACAGCCAACTGCTCTTGTTACTATGGCAGGGTTTAATAGCTGACCTGACGGTAGTTGTTGCAGCTTTATACTTGTCAACCTGAAATTTACACTCATTCAACTTAATGTGCAGAAAGTTTAAAAAAAACCTAGAGCTGTTAAATTCTGAATCCATTAACGCTCCTGGATTCCAATTTCCTTGTTAGCCATTTGTGTGAGGAGATTGCTTGTTTGTATTCACTTTATATACCATTAGCCCCCCACCATCTGCAGACATTAACTGACAGCTGAGAAAAGATTATTGGCTGCTTCCTGATTAAAGCTGTATTTATGCCTAAGCATTCCCCTCACTCGCTGCCACTACTTCATCCACCCCAGCTCTCAACCAAACCATTTCATTTCATTCCATGTTTTCGTCATCTATGAAGTTGACCACTTTGCATCGAATTGAGTTCTATCCAATTGATACAAATTAGAAACCGAGTGAGGTATTCAAGTACTGTTTGTCTGATATTCCACTTAGTACTTCATATACATGTATTACCCGATAGCATTTAGAGTGCTTTAATTCCTAAAGTAATTGTTTTTCTCATAAAAATTGGCTTTCATCTCTGATCAACATTTTACTGCCTAATTATTTTCATGTTTATGTCTAGTCTACTCTTTCTGTCCTACCTATATTATCCTTGCTCATGACTTGAGCTTTGCATTTCAATTTTCAATGTAACAGTAAACTCCACTATTACCAGAACAGGTTTGCTCCCTCAGTGGACCCTCTGAGTGCTGTCACAAATAAGCTGTCTGCTATTGACCTGACCTTTCTAATAGTTGGTATGGATGGCAGGCCAGATGACTGAAAGTGTCATCTCACTGCTTTTGAACAGTAATTAGCACTGCAGACGTAAAGAACAATGATGCTTACCTTCCAGAATAGACCTTTCCATTTATGGTGAACCCAGTAGGAGTTAATGATGAGAGACCATCAGTTTAAATTTGCCACTATGAGAGCAAGGAGAAATTTATTTCCAGTGTTGTTAGAGTATGCCATGCAGAGATTAGTTAATATGGACTTTTAGAAGCAGATGATTTAGATGTGAAACTGAAGAAGAGTGGAATGCATTATGTATTGCATTAACAAAGAGTCAGTACAAGCACAACTTGGGCTCAATGGACCCCTCCAGTGCTCAAACCTTGATAATTCTATGGAGATTTCTATACTGTAGTGTCTCCTTGAATTGATTTACTGAACTCACAGTTTTACCATTTTACAGTAATGAAGCTATAATTGACATTAATCTCTGTTAGATGCCAAACCACATGAACAATTTGAGTTAATGAAGAAATCTGAGAAACAGGAACATATTGAATCTCGTCAAATACATCTACAATCATGCTGCCATTTGATAATCTCAAAAATGATTGCAAATTGTACAAAAAAGAATATGGCATCTCAAGATTATTTCAGTGACTGACTTTGACTTTAGAATAATATGGAGTTTCTTCTTCCTCTTGTGGTTAGTGGGATCACAAAAGGATTAAATCACGCAAATCTGTTGAAATTGTTTTTGACTTGATTCATAAGATGCAGGAATAAGGCCAGCGTTCATTGCCTGTCCCTAAATGTACTTGAAGGTTAAAATGCACAACTTTGTTCAATATTCCAGAGGAAAGTGTAGAGTCAACAACATCTGGGTCTGAAGTTGCACATCGGCCAGACCTGGGTAAGAATGCTAAATACAATACCCTAAAGGATATTAAAGAACCTAATGGGCCTTCAAGGCAATCACCTTGACTGACAAATTACTGATCCTAACATTGTAGGTCAGACCTTATTTAAAAAACTGAAATCAAATTCTTCAGCTACTTTGGTGAGATTTAAATCTTTCCCAGATTATTAATCCATGCCTCTGGTGATATAACTACGCTGCTATTCTACCCCTGCAAGAATATTTTTATTTGAAATTATTTACGTTAAATTCAGAAGAATATATGGATTGTTTTGAAGTAACTTGAAGGTTTGATGGATCTTTGCACATGGAGTGAGAGTAGTTAAATTGTATCAAGTCTACATTCTGTGTGGAAGTGTTTTCATAATACACTGTTTGAAATAATGATATGAAAGGTTGTCAACTGTTCTTGTTTGAGTTTTGATAATATTTAGCATTTACATTTGAGATTGAAAGGTGTCTCACTAAACTGCAGGCGTTTAGTATTCTGAATATTTTAGAGAGATGATAAGCTTATGGTAAACTCTCTTCGTTTTCTAGAGCGCCAACTCTGTATAACGATGGCTGGCTCGAGCACCCTGCCATCCAATGTGACTGGCATCAGCAAGGAACTGGCAGACCTTCGACACCTGATTCAATTCCCTGAAGAGATTGCCAGTATTCTGACCGAGCAAGAGCAGGAACTCTATCGTAAGGTCTTACCACTTGACTACCTCTGCTTCCTGACCAGGGATTTAGCGAATCCAAGTTGTTCCAATAGGTCATCACCACTCAAGACCTCCACATCAGCACCCACTCTCAGCGACGCAAGTGGGGAACACAATGCAATTGAAGATCTCGTGTCAAGATTCAATGAGGTAAGCTGATGCTTCGCTTCTACCTCAACGTAGATTTAATTTTATTTCACTGGCTGAAGCTGGTGGCTTTTTAATTCATTTGTGTGATGTGGGCATCACTGGCTGGCCAGCATTTATTTCCCATCCCTAGTTGCTCTTGAGAAGGTGGTGGTGAGCTGCCATCTTGAACTGCTGCAGTCCACCTGCTGTACAGGAGAACTTGCAGGTTCCTGTGAATCTGTGAACTTGTCCTTCTAGACAATGCAGGTAATGAGTTTGGAAGGTGCAGTCTAAGGATCTTCAGTGAATGATTGATTAAACTTGAGAGTTGAAGTCACAAACTTGATCCCATTCTACCACCATTTTCACGAGTGTGTTCGTAGAGTCATACAATGGAATCCCTACAGTGTGGAAGCAGGCTATTCAGTCCATCGAGTCCACATCACCCCTCTGAAGAACATCCCACCCAGACCCACCCCCTGTATTTCCCATGGCTAATCCACCTAGCCTGCATGTCCCTGGAAACTCTGGACAGTTTAGCATGGCCATTCCACCTAACCGGCACATTGTGGGAGGAAACCTGAGCACCTGGCGGAAACCCATGCAGACATGGGGAGAATGTGCAAACTGCACACAGCAGTCACCGAAGGCTGGAATGCAGCCTGTGTCCCTGGCACTGTGAGGCAGCAGTGCTAACAACTGAGCCACTGTATCACACTGTGTTGGAGCTTACATTGACACTGGTCAATGGGATTTGTACTGTCCCCACAGCAAAACAATGGTAATTAAGGTTTAAGGAAATAAATCATGGCATATTTTATGACAATTATTTTCTCTCAAAGGCATTTAAAAATGAAGAACTAAAGAAATTAACATTGTTTGCATATTTCAAACATATGCAAACTATAAAACCCTAAATGTATAAGGATGGCTGGGGGTTATCAGTTATTTCAATGATTTGTTTGGAAATTCTCTCAGCCTTTCACCTAATCTTTTCAACAGTCCCCTCAATAGTTACCAACTGCCATACCTCGTCAAAGTGGCTGTCATGTGCGGGTGTCATGTGGTCTTTGGCCATAAAGGGGAGGCTGACCTCATTCTCTGTAAAATCTGCAGATGTGGGCTATCAGAGAGTTACTGACCAGCAAAAAGTACCAGCACAGGTTTAAAAACATTTCAGGGTGTTAAATTGGCCTTTGTTGGAAAAGAACAATGTTTGAGGTGTAAAATGTGCTTGCGATTTGCTATTGTGCATTTTGCACTACTCCTGAGGACTTGTGTCTTTTCATTGTACTCATGTTACTGCATTTGGTTCCTGATGATGTCTGTTGGAAATGATGTGCCCCAAGGATTGAGAGAATGGCATGATAATACTGTTTCATTAAGGTATGCATTGGCATCTTCCAACTGTACTCTGCCGTGTGAAACACTATGTACTTTCATACTTCATTTACGGTTTTCATCAGTCAACAGTGATGAATAATAAATATCCACTACTCTAATTACAATTACTTTCCAACTGAGGTCTCAAAATAAAAGTAGGTAACAATTTATTTTTATAAACAAATAGAATGGAGGGCTAAGAATATAAAAGGATGGTTTAATTTGAAGGAAAGACATAAAAAGAAAGTAATGGGAAAGCCCAGGCAAAGAAAACGTGCTCTGATTGTTTCAATTTTTCTTTTAATTTTCCTAAAGTTTTCCTTGATAATGCCATTTATTTTTCCGGTTTACTTTTCACATTCAGTGTGGCTGTTATTTGTGCACTTTGGGTTCATGGCATTTTTTAAAAAAATATATTTTAGCTGTATTCATTTCTAGAATTGGGTATCAAAAAAACTCTTACTTAGTGCTGCTTTTTTTCCTGTACTCAGTCACTGATGTTTTGGAGCACTAACTGATAGGGAAGTCTAAGGTACAACTTGTCCATTGACAGTCATAATATTGGCCATGTGGCTTGCTTTAATATCTCATGAAAGTAACGCTAGTGATTGAGCTCTTGTCAATATTTTGTGTTTAATCGGAGGTGTTGGGGTTGAAATAACAACAGAAGGGACTTCTCAGAGGGGAACTGGTAAATACACTGCTTTTGGTTTACTACGCTGTGCAATGTCAAATATGTTTCTAATTACTAGTAATGATGTTCCATAGTTGTTGCAAGGAAAATGGAGTATTTTCTCCTGGAACTTTATTTTGTCTTGTACAATAATAGTAACAATTGTGCAACATGTTTGGTTTTGTTTGGGATCCATAGCACAATTTTAACATTTGGAAAATGTTAACAATGAGAAATTGCATATTTTTGAGTCAAAATGCATTTATATTTCTTTTGGTTTTATTTGAAATAGTGAGGTATATATAAGTGGCTGACAATATCCTGAGGAACTGATATGGATGGGTCACATCATTTGTTTTAAGTTACGGTGAAACCTCAGAAAAATCCTTTGCCTCCGATTAGTTTTGTATGTTTTGCAATATAGTTGCTATGACAGCAAAAGATGAATATTACCAGAGAAAAAAAGCTACTCAAATGTCAGGCATAGCTTTATTGCTGTAACATGACACCTAAACACAATTTTATGAATATTTCCATGTCAAATTCTGCTTCAACTTTTATGTTCTCTCCTAACTCTGTCAGTGTTAGTTTTATTTTTACCACTTTGAATTATTAGTATACACCATTCCTTCTGTACTCCTTGTAATAAAAACTGAAGCCCTGATTTTAACTTAAGTCTGCTCTCCTGCCAGGAATGGATGAGAGTGAGTTCTGGTCTGATGCCTGTTTGAGACTTCATCGAAAATTCTCTTTATCGAACACAACAACGTGGAAAATTGGATGGTGTGTGAAAGGGACCTGTGACCTGGACCTGTTATTCTTTGTTTTCATCCATCAACGTCCTTCTGAGAGGTGGTAGAACTATATTTTTATAAGCCAAGCATTTTTTTTATTGGTTGAAGTCTAGCCTAAATGTAGGACTTGTGATCAGGTCATTCTTTAATGCCCGTAACTTAATGTACAAGAATGTTTGGCCCTTTGACAAAGTTTGAAAAGTAAAATCCTCTGTTTTTCTGGAAGGAATAAAATTTCCTGTTATGTGACATTAGGTCGCTCTTGTTATAAACCCTGAATGACCACACTCAGTTGGGGGTCACTGTGACCCAAACTCTCTGATTTCATCAGTAAGTAATGTCCAAAAATAATTAAGGTTAATTTATCTGAATGGCAGGACTAGTCACATTGTCATGTGCCCAGGGTTTCTTGTACTTTTCTAAGTTTTGTAAGATTTAACCTTTCTTACGGAGTGACAAAATTGGAAATACATATTGATATGAAGGCATGATTGTGTAGGCAGTTTTACCCCATCTTCTTGCTACCTCAGGGGTCAATGCAAGGTGATTGAATCATAAACTCTTTACCCAGCCTCCCTACACTGTCACCATTGCAAAGGCACCATAGTTTGTTCACATCTGTCTCCCCTATCTCCAACCCCTACCCCTCAACCTGTAAATAAAGTCAGTCTTTAATAGCTATCCTTTTTAATAGATATCCTGAATTTGATTACATCATATGGGCAGTTTAAAACTCAAAATACAACACAGTGTTCACCTCTATCGTTCTCCTGTTGTTAAAATGGAGTCAAAACCCTTTAAATAAACGAAATTTATCGTCACCACCAAGACGCTGTCAAAGGGTACTTTCTGTTCTCCGAAGAAATGCACAGTTAACATTTGTTTAGTCTCCACTGTTACCCTGGATAATTACAGGTTGGAAGTAAATGTATATACTCTACCCTCTGCTTACCAGCTTTTCTTCATGGCCAGTTTTCAGGTCTTGTCAGCTTTTTATAAAGCTCAACCATTAAATAGCACGCAAGGGGAGAGGTGGAACAGGTTGACTGATTCTCTTAGGGTTGAGCAGAGCTTTTTCAGTCAAGGCACTGTTCTGACTCTCTGAACCAAGCTCCTGCTGAGCTGAATGCAAGACTCCTTTCATATAAACAAATTACAAGTGGGCAGAAATGTGTCTGAAGTTGCATATGACATCTTTAATGCCTCAATTTCACTGCAAAATCAGGCAGAAAAGGTTTCTAACGTTGGCTTCAGACCTGTCACAGCAATGTAGTTTTGCTGATGTTAAGATTGAACCTAGGTTCAGGTCCCCAACAGGGATCACATTGGCTGCAGTTAACACGTCATTGGCTTACACGCTGCCTCGCAAGGAAGGGAGGTCCATAGAAAGAGGGCCCCAGCCTGGACCAATTCAGGTGACCCTCAAGCATCAGCTGGGGTTTTGATTGTCTGTAGCTGAAGGTTTTCAGATGATGTCTTGCTGTAGGGGAGGCTGGGGTACCGGGTCAGAGGAGATCGTAATGTGGCTGACCACAGAAGAAAATTTTTTTAAAAAACCATCCCTTTCAGGTCCGAATTAAAACATTGGTTGGAGCCTGATGATGTATTAGTTTCCAATTTGAACATTGTAAGGAAAGGCCTCACTGCCTTCACATAGTTAGTTGCCTTCAGCTGTCTGCTGAGAAGAGGAGGAGACATTAGGAAGCATTTCTACATACACAGGATGGTCAAGCAGTGGATGCAGGATCCGTTGTTAATGTTAAATCTAAGATAGATAAACATTTGTTAAGCAAAGGAATGAAGGGATGTGAGCAATGGGAGGTATATGGAGTTAGGCCACAGATAAGCCATGATCTGATTAAATGGTGGCACAAGTTCGAGGGGTTGACTGGCCTATCCCGATTCGTATGTTCCTCGGGATGGATTCTGACAGGAAATTGACAGCCACCTAACTGACTTCAACTGGCACTCACTCTGTTTTAGCTCCAGCTCCCCAACCCCATTTCTCTTTGTGCACTTTTTAATATTGCCATGCACTGTTGTAATTGCATTTCAGAAATGATGTCTCCAAAATTAATGGTGAGGGGTGCAGGTCTGTGGGGTAGGAAGACCTGGAAATAGCGGGAATATAGAGGTCCTGTCAATTAAATTTAACAACAGGATCACATTAT